ACTTCAGAGATACAGTTTCTTTCGTTGCTTTCAGAGATTAAGGAAAATCCATTCACTTTCACTGGAAGGAGAAACTTCTTCAAGAAATTATGGTTTTTGCTTGTTTAAAAATTTTTGGTCATTTTTATTTTGTTTTTTGGATTTTCATTTTTTGTTGTGTTTGTTTTGGGGGGCCATACCCAGTGGTACTCAAGGCTGCTAATTCTGATCAGGGATCACTCACTCCTAGTGGGGATTGGAAGGACCATATTCAGTGACATGGCAAGGTTGACATGGTAAGCACCTATCCCACTGAATTATCTCAAAGCCATACTTAACAGGAGATTTGTGAGTAGACAATCAGACAATAACCGTGAAGACATAACAGGCTGTTAAATGCTAGATTTTTGCTTGTTCTTAAAAAGGCCTTGAATGTAATTTTGTGAATTATTGAAAAGAAGTTTAAGAACAGCAAGTGTGAAGTTTAACATAAAATGGATTAAATTGCTCTAGTTCTCTACTTAAAGAGCTTTTAAAGAATTTCAGTGCTTAAACCATTGCAATCAAACAATAGGAATTCCAGCAATCCTGAGTTAATGTAAACGAAAATGGTTATCTTCTAAATAACAGCATAATAAAGTAACCTTGAAACATTGTTGTTGGTTCTATATTGTTTTCTGTTTGAATTAAGTGGCAATTTCCAGCATTATACAACAGTGATGGAATTAAGTGATGTTTCTAGTAAAAGAATTTTGCAAGTATAATATGTTTTAGTACTAGATTCTGCTTGCGCATTTAGCAATTAAAATTATTCTTGTAATGATGATGGCATTAGAAGGGATAGGAAGCTGTCAAAGAGAATTTGAAGCTTAATTATCTCTTTGGTAACGAAATGCATAATCTACTATTACAACAGCTTATTTTCTTATGGTAATTGACTCATTTGCTCTCTGGTTATCAATTTAATTTCCAAACCACAAACATCTGCTCTTACATTGTGTTTAATTGGTGTGAATACTATCTATAGAGAAGTTAAAATCCAGAGAACATTTTATAGGCATTATTTTATAATTAATGAAAGGACAAGTGACAAATTGAATGTTGGGGGTTTTTTTCTGCCCTAATAATCTTTGGAAGTCTGTTTACTAAAATGCAGGCTAAATCATACTAATGTATTTTGTTTGATTTAAGTAGTTGAGGTTTAATTTAAATTGAGGGTTGGGTCATACCTGGTGGTGCTCAGGGCTTACTCCTGCAAGTGCTCAGGAACCACAAGTGGTGCTGGGCATCAAACCGGGGTCAGCCACACGCAAGGCAAGCAAGCACCTTAACCTCTGTACCCCATCTCCTTAATGGATTTTTTTCAAAAGAAAATTTTGCTGTGCTTTCAATATTATGTAATTAGCCTGAGAAGGAACCTGTCCTTTTGACAATTTGTTGGTTTTTTAGACCAGAACCTTAGTAATAAAGATTATAGGCTTTTAACACAGAAAATAAATTTTTAGTGTGTCACTCTTTAAAAAAGAGGAGTGGGGACATGTGTGTGTAAGTGTTCTGGTGTTGGCTCATAGTTTTAGAAAATGGAGAGGAAGTGAAGAGGAGGGAGGGAGTATAAAAAAGAAAGGAGAGAGGGATCATAAGGAGGGGAGGAGGGAGGAAGGAGAGGAGGAAGGGAAAAGGAAGGCATAATGAATGCTCCTTGGATAGTATCAATAGAAATAAAATCACTTTAGAACATAGGCCAACTTGTGAAATGTAAAAACTAGAGAAGTGATATTAAGAAATTATTATAGATACCAGCATAGTAATATTATTATAGTTATGCTTAGAAATAGAAGTTCTTGTTTCAGAGGAATAATTAGTAAATATATACGAAATATACCCAGGATTTGCTTTAAAAGATCTGAAGATGGGGCTGGACAGATAAAAGAAGGGCTAAGGCACTTGCCCCACACATGACTGATCCGGGTCTAATTCCCAGCACCCGATATGGTCCTGAGTCCCTCCCTGGAGCGATCCTGAGCCAAAAGCCAGGAGTAAACCCTGAGCGCCACTGTTTCCCACCCCTCAGAAAAAGTAGGGAATGGTGTAGGTTGGAATATAAACGAAGTAGCAGTTGGCCATGGGTTGATATCCAGGTAAATTTAATCAGGTCTTAAGTAGGGAAAACTCAGGATTGCATGGATGTTGTTTTTCCTACATCTAAACAATTTTCCAGTTCAAATGAAAACTCCAGGCTGCTTGTATTTAGCCTTACTTCTCCGTGTCCTTCTTCTTCTTGTTTCACCAAGAAGGAACAAAGAAACCTACCAAGTATGAGTCTAAATACTTCTGGACAATAAGAGCAACTTGATCAGGGCCAGGGAGCTGAGTGGCTGGAAGGCAGACTTTATCCACGGGGGGCCTAGATCCTATCTCTGACACTGCCCCAGCCACCCCAGGGGCAACCACCAACTGCCCTGGGTGCACCCCTCTCCCCTCCAAAAAAAAAAAACAAACCAAAGGAAACAACCTGGTACAGCACCGGCAACCTTAAGGTAAAAGACAAAAGGAAAACTGAGAAAAACTACTGGCAAGAGTGTAACAGAGGGTTAGTAGCTTACTATGACCCAGTCAGGATCACACAATCACATTAGGAATTGGAACAGTGACAGATTTAAAAATTACTAACCAGTGAAAAGTGTTAAAAAAGAATAGATTTCTACAGCCTATGGAAATAGTACATATAAAAATTAGCTACTATGTAAAAAGCTTGAGGGAGAGTTTTTTTTTTTAAGAAGAAACAAACAGAAGAGGGCACCCCTGCTTAAGGCTGGAATTGAGACTCTGGCGGGAACAAGTAAGACAGAAAGAAAGTGTTTGAGCCACAGTGGGCCATAGAAATCATGCACTGGTCTGAACACAGTCTCCTGCTGGGGGTCCTGATGGACAGAATGTAGGAAATTTCCTGGAAGGACATATTGGGTCTGGCTGGAGTTCTGGGTGCTGTCCACTGGGATACTAAGGATGATGTACACAAAGCCCCATGCTGGAGCAAACTGGAGAAACTTAGCAATGATGACATTTTCAGGAGATGCATCGTGAAGGAATATCCCACAAGCCTTTCAGCCGCCTCACCCAGACGGAGAGCAGCGCATGTATCTGACATTGTACCAACTTTCACAAGTCCTTACCCCTTATTAAAAATAGGAGTGGGCTTGGGGCCTAGCAGACCACTAGCATTGTTTTAAGATTTTTTTTTGCAAATAAAGAAATTTTTTTTTAAAAAATGGTAGAATACAGGTACAGAAAATTCACAGAAGAATAAGTACAAAATTTTCTAACCATTGTGAAGGGCAGTCAAACTATTAATGGAATTCCCTGATTTTTTTTTTATCTACTTTGCAGACATATTTTGGGGAGGGGGGAGGTCTTCCATTACTGTGGACATATGTTGCTTCTTAAGATTATAGTCTATTTCATCCTTTTCTTCTACTGATTGCCTGGTATCCTGCCAGCTCTTCATATTTCTTTTTTTTTTCCTTAATTATATAGTCTGTATTCTCACAAGTGCTAGGAAAGTGAATTGGAAAGGAAGATGTCATTCTCTAGTTACAGACAACATAGTTGCCTATGTTGATGGTGTGTGTGTGTGTGTGTGTGTGTGTGTGTGTAGGCAATAAATGAATTTATTATGATCACAGTTTGATAAAGGAATGATATACCTAAGTAAATTATAACTCTGTCTAGCAGTAAGCAATTGGAATTTTTTTTAAATGTAATGCCACTTACAGTGGGACCAAAATACTGAAATACTTACGAGATATACCTAACAAACTGTGAATAAGATTTGAGTATTAAGAACTATTAAACAGTGTGAGAAGCCAAAGAGTTAAATAAATGGAAAGAGGTACACATCAAGGGAAGACTCAATATTATTAGAATGTCATCCTGCTTAGGGTGTTCACCTTACAAGCGGCCAACATGGCCGACCCGAGTTCAATTCCTCCGCCCCTCTCGGAGAGCCCGGCAAGCTACCGAGAGTATTCGATATGCCAGACACAGTAACAACAAAGTCTCCAATGGAGACGTTACTGGGCCCGCTCCAGCAAATCAATGAATAACGGGAGGACCGTGACCATGACCATCATCCTGCTATGGGTTCAGTGTAGTCACAATCAAAATCCTAATAGTTTGAACAGTTTGGGAGGGAAGAAAACCCTCATTCATGTCTTTTGTAGAAAAGAAAAAAATACAGAGCTAGACTTGGTTGATTTTGCTTGCTTTGTGATGTAGGAAGTTCCTTGTCTTTTGAAACTCAAAACAAGGATCAGTAAGACTTCCCTTCTCAAGGATGTTGTATGTAGAATTAAAACACTAGGTGGGAAATTGGTTCTACTTTGTTCTTACTACTTCATGTCAACAACTTACAACCTCCAGGCTAGGGGAAGGGCGATGATAGAATGTCAGGCATTTGCAAATGCAACTTAACTTTATCCCAAAGATCCTGTCACTCTTCCTCCCGTCCTTGAAAACCATTTCATATCATGAGATCTGTGTTCTGGAAAGATGGTGTGTGAATGAACTATTTAAGGCTTCTGAGGTGATGTGGTGTTTGTACGCCCTTTTCTTGGGTCGGGGGTCCGGGTAATTACTCACTAGACTGACTGGAATGAAGAGACTCTCAGGCTTCTCAGCTCTTTTAAGTTTTAACTATGACTCTTCCAGAATGGGATAAATGTTAGGGGAAAAGTCTAATTCCCACTTTTAGACAGTTTGTTGCATTTATATTTTCATCTTCCATATAGTTAGTGAATATTTCTAACAAGGAAGTTCAGAAATCTTCTTTAGAAAATATTCGTTACTTATACCAAAATATCAATTCTTTAAGCTTTGTATTTCTTACATTTAAAAACATGTATTTGTAGACACATTTATAAAATAAGTAAAGCCTCAGATAATTTAAATATCCTTTAAGATTACTTGAAATATGATCACCTGGTTTTGATTTTCACTAATGTTTTCATTTTTCTCTTTTAAAGCCGAACCTGAATTCCTGAAGCAGCCTACAAATATATATGCTCATGAATCGATGGATATTGTATTTGAGTGTGAAGTGACTGGGAAACCAACTCCAACTGTGAAGTGGGTCAAGAATGGGGATATGGTCATACCAAGTGATTACTTTAAGATTGTAGTAAGTACTTTCCGTAGAACACTTACCTCTGAAATCCTTACATGTCTTCATATGCAGCCACACAGAGATCAGTTGCAACCACCAGCTTACATACCACTGATGAAGACAGGAAAGTTCATATAAAACAGGGGTTCCCAAACGTACTTATCCTGGTGCCCCCTTCTCAAAAACAGAATCTCTCTGTGCACTTGATAGTATAAACAGAAAGTGCTCCCCATTGATACCCTAGGCTGTTCTAGGACCTCCACTTGGCATGTGTGAGAACTGGGTCCAGTCCCATCCCACAATGACTAACGTGCATGCACGTGTGTGTGTGTGTGTGTGTGTCAGTGTGTGCATGTGTGTGTACTGGTTATCTTCATAACTCTATATACAGGAATGAACATCTGTTTCTCTTCTGATGTCAGGAACTTCAAAATAATTATTGAATTGTCTAGTGCTCCATGTAAAAGATATTTTTTAAAGTAATGTTAAAGGTATTTAAGAATTGCCAGCCATTATAACTCTTTATAGTAAATGTTAAGTAATATGATCTTATGTTATTGTCATTATCTGATAACCTCATAATAAAATTATCTAGATTTTATGAATAAGGATTAGCAACGTACCTTAAGATGCATGAATACCATTGGTAGAAGTAATGCAATGTTAATCTGTTAAAAACCCTAATGTTCATGAATTCTTATATGAATTCTCATATAAGTTAATTTATTTTTGGTGGACAAATATTATTTTAAATTAATTTTTTAATTATATTTTTGCATAATTTCATATGTAATATAAAGTAATTCACAAATATTTAATTTTAAAACAAAATGTATGGCTGAATTAGCATTTTTATTACTTTATTGGTGTTTTGTGATTCAGTTTATAAAATGTAAACTCATTAATTATGATAGTTGTCATTCAAACTTTGTAGTTTTAGGAAAGCTGTTATATGCAGTACCATTTAACTTACTATATGATCTGTTAAAACTATTTGTATTAGAGATAATCTTTAGAAAATGCCTTGAAGAGTTTACAGATTTCACTAGTCACATGATATTTCATGTCTGATACTTTCTCAAGTAAAAAGTGTAAATTCGCAAACATGGAGGGCATATATTAGCACTAGGTTTATGTTCATTGCTGAAATCAGTAAATTGTTCATTGTTCATGAAAGTGCTTCCTTTCCAGCCAAGTTCAGTACTTTATCAAAATGCTCATGTGAAATTGGGTTAATAATTATACAGGTAAATAATATTCAGTAACTGAATTCTACTGTCTTATTAACTTTTCCCTAAAAAGAGCATATCCTTGAAAAAGTACATATCCTTGATATTTTAAACTAATATTCATTATTTGAATTGCAAGATTTTATTTATGTTTTTCTTCCTCAGAAGGAACATAATCTTCAAGTTTTGGGTCTGGTGAAATCAGATGAAGGCTTTTATCAGTGCATTGCTGAGAACGATGTTGGAAATGCACAAGCTGGAGCCCAGCTGATCATTCTTGAGCATGGTAAGATGGGCTGCAACGTCAAAATGGAAGGAAGTTGAGCAGCTAGTATCTCTCGCTGCAGAAGTCCTCATAGTTGGAACCCCTTAATAACTCTAAGGATAATTAAGAGAAAAAAATAACAGTTTAAATTATTTGTGTTGCTTAAAGTGACCTGAAAATGCAGTTTGGGATGATATTGAAACTCAATTAGTAGGTTATTTTTAAGTTTAGTTGAGGTAGCTTGGTCACAGTAGGGTTTATCTTCATATTTGTGTTGTAAAAAAATTACCGCCCTAGCACCATACCAGAAATTGGGTTAATATATTAGGTAATAAGGTTAAAATATTTTTAAAAAAACAGTGTGCACTCTTAATGCATAGGATGCTTTCAGATTTCAACTGTTTACATCTCATAGATGTTATTTCTGCACTATTAAAAACATAAAAGCTTACTTAGAGTAATGTTTGTGTTGCATAGATGTTTTCCTCAGTTCCCCCAAGCAAAATTAATTTGCCTTTTCTGATTATCACACAAAAAGAGGCTTATTAGAAAGTCAGACAACACTGAAAAGCTAAAAGCAGAGGGAAACCTACTGTATCAGAGTCAAGTGAGGAGGAGAATTCACCATCTTTTGAGCCAAAAGCAAGGATTAAGAGGACTTTAATGTAAAGTTATTATACTTGGAGGAGTTTGGAATGACAGGAGATTCTCTGGGAAGAGGTGATGAGAGTACTAGTGAAAAGAAGACTCGCAAATTAGGGGGCTCTGTTGTCTGCTCAGGAGAGCTGTTCCGGGCGGTATTTCACCCTGGGCGTTCAGCTCTAACGCTCCCTGAGGCTCAGGGCAGCACCTCCCAAGGCAGCTCACTAGAAGTCACCAGGTGGAAAACCCCTTCCTCTGCAAAAGCGTCTTCCTAGAAGTAACCAGGAAGGAAAATCCCTTCTGCAGTATCTCTCCAAGTTTGTATTCTTGAAGTTTAACACGTGTGTCAGCTGACAAAGGAAAAATACATCCAGGGCCCAGCTTCATTTCTGCAGAGCAGGCAGTAATGGCGTTTGGAGCTGTGCAGCATTAAATTTATAGCTGGCACAGACTCAAGACTCTGCAGTGTAAGGATGCTGTGTGTGTGTGTGTATGCGTGTGTGTGTGCGCGCGCGTGCACTCAGATGATGGGCCCATAAACCTCCTAACCTCTCACAATAGCTTACTGCCCACAGAATTTCATGTCAGTAAATATAATCAACATTTTTCCTGAATGATAGGAGTGCCCTTCATTTCATGTCACCAACTGCCTATTAACTTTTATTTGGGGCCTGGGGCTGGGAGGGGGGGTTTCACACATGGTGGAGCAGGTGTGACAACACCTGCTCCATCAGCTTGGTGCTCGGGGATGCTCCTGGCCATGCTCAGGGAACCATATAGTGCTGGTGATTAACCCAGGCTCTTTCAGCCATCTCTCTCGCCCTGTAATTGTACTCTTAAATACGTTTCAAGAAACAGCCTATCAAATGCCTGTGTGCTGTTTTAGTGAAAGGCCTGAGTAGGTGCCTTCTTTGCTAAGTAGCTTCCTGGCTAACTGGCGCACACTCTGGAACTGAACTCACCTGACTCTCACATCAGAGTAGTTGTCTACAGGTTCATTGTTTCCATGCCTTGTAGAGAAATGTGCAAACAGGGAAATAATCATTTTTTAAATAAAACACTGCATCCAGTAGGTATTCTCATCCATTTAACAGCGAAATTTTACCCAACAAGCCAACTTCTAGTGATTTTCATGTGAGAAAATAATTATATAAAGAAATTTAGAGGAGTATTTTTAGTAATAGTGAAAAATAAACTGCTTAAATGTTAGCAGGGTGGACCAGGGAGGCCCTGGTTTGCTCTTCCTCTTGCTTAAGTCCACCCCAGCAGAGTGCCCCGAGTAGATCCCAAGCACTTCCAGATGTGGAACACACACACACACACACACACACACACACACACACAAACAACTCTTCCTCTATATCTGTCACTTCATCCCTTTCCTTACTCATTGAAAAGGACTTAGTTGAAACCTCTTTTTCATGTTGACAGAATGCCCAAATATGATTATCAAATCACTAGCAGAATTAGTGAGTTCAGTAACTTGAATTCTTTGCACTAATGGGTGTGATTTTCTTTAGTTAACTTCTTGATTTGTGAGATTACTTATGTATAAAACAGAGAGCTTGGAACATTTGTGTCGGGTTACCCTTGTAGATTTAACTCAACGGTATAAAAGATTGGCTCTGTTGGGAGGGCTGTAAACCAATCCTCATAGACTTTCCTCTGGCTTGATTGATATAATAATTATATTTATAGTTTCTGTATTTTTTGAGACATTTCAAACACAGGCATTTTAGGTGTTGGAAAAATTATTCAGTGATCTTGTCAGGTATGCATTAAGAACACATTGTTTACAGAAAGTTTATAAAGTAAGCCTGCTATATGTTACTAATATCACTTTCTGTTCTTGTTTTAATTTATAAAGTAAATATTTACATGGGAACGCTAAAAGAACATAACAGTTTATAAGATCTGCTCCCTGCTTTTCTAGTTTCCAGCATTATCACTGTCACTGTCACTGTCCTCCGGTTGTTCATCGATTTGCTTGAGCAGGCCCAGTAACGTCTCCATTGTGAGACTTGTTGTTACTGTGTTTGGCATATCAAATACATCACGGGTAGCTTGCCAGGCTTTGCCGTGTGGGCGAGATAGAATAATAGCTTGCTGGCCTCTCCGAGAGGGGCGGAGGAATCGAACCTGGGTCAGCCGGGTTGGCCGCGTGCAAGGCAAACGCCCTACCGGCTGTGCTATTGCTCTAGCCCTCCAGCATTATAAGGGACATAAAAGATGTTTATGACTTTAATGCCTGTTCATAGTAAATTTTATTTTAAAAAGTTCCCTTTTCTTTTGTTGCTGCAATGGTGACTGAAGTTCATGTACTTGACCACCGTCACTGCTTGCCAAGGGTCACAGACACTTAGTTGTGTTTCTTGGAGCCCACACAGTTCTGTTGTATTGCTGGAGATGATAACAAGAGTGGCATTGGAATGGCATGTGGCACATAGGTGATGCCGGGGATCAGACTCCGGATCTCAGACCCACACGAGCTTGCTGCAGACCCCCATAAGGAGTTACATTATCTTACTACAGACAAAGCAGCAGCACACAGTCCAGAAGAGAGGAATTCTGTCTTTGGCCTGGGGAGTTTTTAATGTGGAAAGTGTCCTCTGTGTAATGTGTCTAAAATGATCAGGTTTCCAGTTGTTACGAGGAGGATGCAAATCAGTATGGACGTAGTATAGTTGGAGTATTTTGTTTTTATGGAAGGTGACCTGTAAAGACAGTATAGATTAGGTTGGTAATTAGATTAGTCTTTGATCATGAACTAGAATAAGGCAGTCTGGTGATGTAGGTTTAATTAGAAGGGAGGAAGCCGTGGGATCGGTTGTAATGGAGAAACAGATATAAAGGATACTTAAAAACTGTGAATGATTTGGCTGATCCTGACTTGAAGAATCGATTAGATGCTAAGCATGGTTGTAGAGAAGCCAGAGGTAACTTCCAGGTTTATCTGGGTGAGTGGAAGAGTGCTGGTGTTGACAGACGTGCAGAAGGGAAGTGACCTGGAGTGGAAGAGGGCTTCTGCTTCTATTCCATACATAAGGTGTATGCAGAGGACAGCGCCCTCACTGCCATAAAAGCTGAATCATCTGCAAAAAAAATATCATAATTTCTTCAAGCTTTTAGAGAGCTCAGCATGCAAGACAAGCAGGTAACCCAAATTCCAAAGAAGGACAACTTTCCCCAGACAAGTGGACCGTAGGAATTGTTTCACTTTTGACGTTGTGTATAGACAAAGAAATAGCTGACATGAAAGGTAAGTTACATTGATACCAACTGTTGAAGACTCAATGTGGACTAGTTTAGAATATTTGGGACCAGATAGAATGGGAGCACATACTTGCTTGCAAAGATATTTCCCTGAGGCCCTGCAGGATGTTTATTATTAAGGGGCAAGAGACTAGAAAAGTCATTTCAGTGATACGGAAAGTAGTCTGCCTGTTGGGGGAAAAGTCCCTCCTACGTACTTCGGAGCAGAATTCCTTAAGCCTCAAAGATTGGTGGGGCAATATGATAACTTACTTCACACATTTCTAGGGAAATAGTCGAAGAAAATCCCTCCCCTGTCCCTAGGACACAGGCAAAGACCCATTAGTGATGGGGGAGGGGTTTGAGAGAATAAAACCCTCTTTTGATAAAAGACATAGAAAAACGTTTCAGGACCTGGGATTTTCCAGTAGTTCAGAGAAGAGCTCTTTTACTTCTGGGGACTAGGAAGCCAGCACTCAAGACAGCATAAGTACAAATCTGGTTTTGGCTGCCATAGGAAGAAGAGCCTGATAAGGCCTACCTCATGCTAGGACTGGACCAGAACCATTGAAAATCACACCCGCGTCAACCATGAGCCTAGAACTTACAAATAAACAAAAGCTTTCACTATCAGGAGAAAGTCAAAAGCATAGAGTGATCCCTTTGTGGAGAGGTGTACAAGAATGGGTGAAAACTGTAAGAAAATGTGGTACTCACTTGAAGCTCAGCACCGTAACAGTCTGCCAGTAAAGAATCTGAAAACTGGAGCTGGAGCAATAGCACAGCAGGTCGGGCATTTTCCTTGCACACGGCTGAGCCAGGTTCGATTCCCAGCATCCCATATGGTCCACCGAGCACTGCCAGGAGTAACTCCTGAGTGCATGAGCCAGGAGTAACCCTTAAGCATCACCGGGTATAACCCAAAAGGCAAAAAAAAAAAAAGAATCTGAAAATTATACTAAAGAGACCTCTCCTAGTAGTGAAATTCTCACCTGGGGAGCTTGACTCTCCTGGTGTTGTAGTACCTAAAAAAAAAAGAGTAAACAGGACCACCTTCTTGGCGGCTCAGTGGCTGCCATCCCCCAGAGGCCATTGGACAGTTAGGATTGGGCCTGCAGTGATGAGAG